ATTCCGAACGACCGCTCACCATCCACAAGCAAACGGGTTGGTAGAACGTTTTCACCGACAACTGAAAGCTTCACTATCAGCCACAAACGTTTCACAGTGGACTGACGCTCTTCCACTCGTCTTACTAGGTATCCGCAATGCAGTGAAAGCTGACATTGGATACACTGCAGCTCAACTCGTTTATGGAACAACACTTCGACTTCCAGGAGAATTCGTGGATCCTTCATCCTCTTCAATGAACATGGATCTAACCTCCTACACGAACAGGCTTACAAACGCAATGCGTTCAGTTAAAGCTGCTTCCACTCGACCTCAATCAACTGATGTTTTCGTTCAACCTGACTTACGATATAGTACACACGTTTTCGTTCGTCGAGACTCGCATCGACGGCCATTCGAATCAGCATACGAAGGACCCTTCAAAGTTCTTCAACGCGAACCGAAGTACTATATAGTCGATAAGAACGGAACAAGCGATAGCATCAGCATCGATCGCCTCAAAGCAGCGTACTTGGAAGGAAATCCTATCTACGTGGATTTTTTTTCGGTACAATCGAACGACACGACTCCGACACTTATAATACCCCATCCGACAACCAACACACACGATACTTCGACAGTATCCGAAAATAAACTTAAAACGACGCGTTCTGGAAGAAGGGTGAGATTTCCAGAACATTTAAACGACTATTGCACGTAAGGCACTTCTCGACATTTTATATTATTTTTTTTAAAAAAATTTTAATATGCTTATATATTTTTATTTCTATTTTTAAAAAAAACAAAAAAACAATTTTTTTTAACGCTATTACGTGTTCATGAGTTTATTTTCCATTTTTTTCCGCCAACATTGTGTTTTTACGCACATACGAATGTATTTTCGACATACACTTACATTTTCTTTTTTCTTTTCCAGGACGGCTGGAAAAGAACGATGACGTTTATGAGGATCCGAAATTTTCATTGTACATTTTCTTTTTTTACTATGTTGTACCTCCGTCCCATATAGTAAGGAAAGACGACCAGACGCTGCTGAATTTAGTAAGCTATCAGAAGAGTGTTTACCAACGACAAACTCGTTGGGTTTAAACTTCTGGCTGGCCACGTCTTAGGGTCGTCACTACCTCACTAGGGGGGGGAGTGATCTGTAGCGGTAAATAAATCCCCAAAATAAATAGCCCTATGTTTTCGACATTGGATGCTGACCATATGTTTTAGTGGACTCATCTAGCTGAAGGCGCTCGGTCATGCATCCGTACCAGATCACGTGTGGTAACGCCGTGCTCAACATCAACCGCAATCGCTAGCCAGATTAGATCAGAGAATTCCGATATATTGGTCATCGCCAAATATACTCTTCCGATCTCCTCGACTCTGTCTTTTGATTTCTCTGGGCGGGAACGAAATACATTAGAAGGTGTTACTGGTAGAAGCGTTGTCAAACACTGAATACCTGTGGCATCATCAGTGCAATTCCTGGGAGGATTATTTTTATGCTTTTTATCTGGGCCGCTAAAGCAATACTTGAACGCTATTGAGGCATAAGTGGATTGGCATTTTGGGGTAACTGAGTGTTTGGGCTGATGGTGAGCGGTTGCAGCTGCTTTATGTGCGGCCTTGTTCTTAGGAATAATAGCAGCATCCGACGTGCCTCCGTTTTTTGGAGGGGCAGTGTATGGTGTTTTAGGATTAATGCAGTGACAAGAGCTGTAGCTGCCGCGGCTAAGTAGGCTGGGTTGATCAATTTGTGTTCCATTGCAGTTTCGACGCTGGATAGCGGTCCTGTCATGAATGATTCTAATCTTTTTAAATGTTAGAATACGCCTCAGTAATGACTGACTATTGAGGAGGTGACTAGCTTCAGTGGTACTACCAAACTGAAATAGAATGGGACAAGAGGCTTTAATGTGTGCTTTACGCAGTCTTCGTGTTACGCACCAAGATTGCGACAATCCACATTCTTGTAGTAGAGTATTTTTAGCAATCTTTACGTTCGCACTATCAGGTATATTATACACAATGACATTCTGCATACACTGGAGTCTTTTCAGTACTTCAGTTGATATGTGGTCAATTACTTTTTCATTTTTTTATAATTTATAATACCACGTGAAAAAAGTTACAACCTTCAAAAGCGCGCGTGATTAGGTTATATGTCCGTGAGGATATCAGCCTAGCTGATCGTATTAAGAGACGAGCTGCAGAAGCGGAAATAAATGAGCGTCGCCAAAACGGTGAAAGGAACCTCGTTCTTAAGGATTTTCGAATTGTAAAAGTTCGGAGCAAAACGATCCCCAAGCCACTCTGGATGGCAAGGGAAAGCTCTCCACAGACTTAAAGATATGCTACACAAATGCTCACAGCCTCCTAAATAAAATGGCGGAGCTCAAGTCAGTGGTGGATAAAGAAAAACCGGGCGTTATTGCTGTCTCGGAAACTTGGTTAACGTCAGAAGTATTAGATAGTGAAACCCAGTTGACTGGTTTCATAACCAGTAGGGCTGATAGACTAAACCGAGGGGGAGGCGGGGTTATTCTGTACACGAAAAGTACCCTGACCATAAGATTAGCTGAGACAGTAGCACATGTTTCAGGGACATGTGAACTGGTGAGATGTAAGTTGAAATGCCGACAGCAAGATATTGAAGTAGTTGTAGTATATCGCAGTCCAGAATGTGTAGCAGATGATATTCTCCTAAGTAAACTTAAGTCCTGGTGTAACAACGGTAAGTCTTGTAGTAGGCGACTTTAATGCACCATATATAAACTGGGTTAACTTAGAAGTACGGTCATCGATATCGTCGTTCGACTGCAAACTGTTAGAAACCTCGATTGGACTAGCATTATTCCAACACATTAGAGATCCCACAAGATACGACTTAAGAAACTCTTCTTCTCTTTTAGATTTAATCTTCACACACGGTGATGACGTTGGTCAAACGGCTTTTCTCACACCGCTTGGAAGAAGTGACCATGCAGTCATCTTATTCAAATTCATGGCTGAGATTGCTTGTCAAACAATTGCGCCGGCCCGTCCTAACATATGGAAGGCAGATATGCAGGCAATTAACTCCGCAGCATCGGCTGAGAACGCTACAGATCGATAAGAAACGAGTGCATAACAAAAATTCGGGAAGCTCAAAGAAAATATGAAATGCAGCTGGCATAATCTGCACTCAAGCAGCCCAAGAGAATATTCTCGTACATAAACTACAGAACAGGGATGCATCATTGGATTCCCAACCTAATTAAAGTAGGAAGTGAATCTGAAATGATAGAGGAAGATCAGGAAAAAGCAGAGGCTATGGCTGACTATTTTGGGGCAGTTTTCACTCAGGAACCTCCTCTAGAGAACGAACCAGACCCAAATACAGAGTCAACAAACCACCTGCTCACCGTGGACTTCGACCAAAACGATGTGCTTAAGGCTCTTAGCACCCTAAACATGGAGAAGTCAACAAGACCAGATGAACTACACCCCAAAATCTTGAGACATATTGCCTAATATATCGCGGCCCCACTGACCGTGATATTAAATGTCACTTGACCAAGGTGTGTTACCTATGGACTGGAAGGACGCAATCGTCACTCCCATACATAAAACAGGTCCACGACAAGTTCCATCGAATTACAGACCCGTAAGTCTCACCAGTGTTGCAATTAAAATACTTGAAAGAAAAATCAAACGGACCATAACGGCATTTATGGAAACCAATAACTTGCTGAACAATGCACAACATGGTTTTAGAAAAGATCTATCCTGTACAACGAACCTCCTTATAGCTAGGAAGTTCTGGATTAATGCGCTAGACAACGGAAACTCAGTGGATTTTGTCCACATAGATTTCAGTAAGGCTTTTGACAAGGTGCCAACTAATAGACTGCTATTGAAGTTGGCAAACCTTGGTATTGCCGGACCTCTTTTAAAATGGATTAAAGATTTCCTAGTAGATCGTAGACAAAAAGTAAGATTAAGTTCCAAGTGCTCCATCAGGAGACCAGTACTTAGTGGAGTACCCTGATGATGTCACAGGTATTCAGTGTTTGACAACGCTTCTACCAGTAACACCTTCTAATGTATTTCGTTCCCGCCCAGAGAAATCAAAAGACAGAGTCGAGGAGATCGGAAGAGTATATTTGGCGATGACCAATATATCGGAATTCTCTGATCTAATCTGGCTAGCGATTGCGGTTGATGTTGAGCACGGCGTTACCACACGTGATCTGGTACGGATGCATGACCGAGCGCCTTCAGCTAGATGAGTCCACTAAAACATATGGTCAGCATCCAATGTCGAAAACTTAGGGCTATTTATTTTGGGGATTTATTTACCGCTACAACCCCAATGTTCCGTCCTAGGTCCTTTACTTTTTATATTGTACGTTAATGATCTTACAAGTATAGTACAGTCTCCAATGTTATTATGCTGTGATGATTTAAAAATTTGGCGAGTAGTAACTGTAGACAAAGACGCGTTTACTCTTCAGGCGGACTTAAATAATATGATAAACTGGTCTAAGGAGTGGCTGATGCCTTCCATTCCAACCAAAACCATCCGGAGCGCTGTAATATCACCACCCGTTGACACATCGAAAGTGGGTTGGATCTTCTCAAGAGATTATCGTGACTATTTTTTCCTCCTAATTCTCGAAGGTCAGTTTCCTTGTTATTCAGCACCACGTTCTAGTTTTCACGATTTGTTGAATATAATCCAGATAGAACTAAATGAAAACATATCGGAAGTAAAGAGCACAAACTAAGAGTGGTGAATAGATCTAACGCCTATTAATGCAGCGGATTGAACTATTTGCTTTTAGTTTTGACTTCGAGACTGTTTTATCCTCAGGCTTTTTTCACTGCTGATTACAGTCTATTGCTTTCTTTACTAAATGTAAATGCATTATACGAGCTTGCTAGGTCTCCAATTTTTCAGCTTCTATTTTCAGTTCTCTTCACTCACACTACTTTGCATGCTATGACTGAACAAAAAATACCATCTGACCAAACTAACCCACAACAATAACCCGCTCGTTTTAGTGTTTCCAATCGTAACCTTGAGTCCTCTTTCCCCTCTTATCATACATGTCGTTCGAGTAGGTTTTTCTGCGTAGTTTTTCTTTCCTTAGTTAAGATTGATAAACTTCGTGTACACTACTGATGTATATTGTAGAATCCAATTAGGTTTTGTCGCTAAACTGACATATGTCAACAGAAGCAAAGGTAACCTTTTTCGCCCTATATATAGGATCAGAGTGAACTATTAAAATAGTTCACTTTCAAGGGGATGATGAAGAGAAGCAGTTTGTAGAAGCTGATCTTTATTCCTATGTCGTGTCGCTCTCTACATTTCGCTTTATTCACTGTTGGTTAGAGGTGCATCTCCTTTTGCACCTACCCTCTAATCAATACCTAATGTAAACAACACTTCTCAACTCTCGACTAATGGGAAAAAATCTTAGACTTCGGTTTTCTGATTGTCACAATATACATATTAAATATATGCGTTTTGAGTAGTTATGTTGACATGACAAAGTTTATCTAGTTTACAAGAAAATTGCAACAAATATTACGTGATTCGACTACGGTTGTTTCCAACTATTAAGTTATATAAATTTCCTATTTTTGTTTTTGTGTTTATTTACAAGCCAGTTGTAAGTTGCTGATAAAGGTTTTAAAGAAAACCTAGTATATTTGTGATGTGATTCAGTATGTCTTTTGTACTCGCTATTGAATGCTGTATATATATAAATCTTTCAGCCCAATTTTCGACTCACAAATTATTGGTCTCGTGCTCTTTGTATTAGGGCGTCTCAGTCTTCCTTCGGTTAATTATGTCTGACGTATCTTTGCTTTAAACAGTTGTTCTACTAAAACCATCAAGGATGGGTTTCCGTATAGGTACAAAAAAATGCTGGCAACAGTTCATATTCGAAATTTAGTGTCCTATTAATCGAAAGTTCTAATTATTGCTTGAATCTACAATTCCACAGATTGAATTGTTAGGATTTATGTTGACCTTAGTACTTGACATTTATATATTCTGTAAAAAGTGCATTGCATCCAATTCATGTTTGAGTCAGATAAAAAAGTTATAAAACGAAACTTTTCAGCTACGAATCTGCTCTTTCTTCACGAGAATCAGATGGGGTAGATAAGGAATTGCAGACATTCATACAAACGATACAACAAAGAGCGGAGTTTCAGAATCATGTCAATCATCTGACTTCTGTGTGTTGGGATAAGTGTGCTGTTGGATACCCGTCTTCGAAAATGGATGCGAAAAAAGCAAATTGTATCGAAAACTGTACAGAACGTTACTTGGACGTTTCAATGCTTCTTCGTAGTAGGTTTCAATCTATGTTGGCGAATTTGCAACAGTAACATGCTTTAACAAGTGAAATACTTTGCTTGTGATCATATTTGGACTCATGTACATAGTGTAGTAAATGTCTTTATTTTCTTCTAACCAGAAACCTTGTTTGTGTACTTAATTGCGCTGGTCATGCAGACATTTGTTCGTATGTTTAATTGTAAAATCTAGTTATTAACTCATGTTTTACTTTTCTATATAAACGGAAGTTTATCTGATAAATATATTCCCGTTTTTGTACTTCAAGTGGTTAATACCCTAACGCGGTATCACATTCAAAAATTAGTGTACAAAGGATGATTTTATCTTCAATACGCTGATTCCATTAAGCTTGTAGCTGTTAAATTAAGAGGATCTACCTGAGGTGCTTAGATACACTAGTACAACCTGAAACAAGAAAATATTGGGTCTTATTTGATTCGTTTCTAGTCTTCTATACCAGCTGATAAAACACAACAGGGAGACCTCAACTAAACACTTAAATACCGGCAGATAATGGTTTACAACAGATTTACTACTGTTGCCTAGATCTATACACGGCATAAACGTTGTTCTATTTTTTTAGTAAATTTTCAGCCAGGTACTGGCAAACTGCAAAAATCCTTCAATGTATTAAGATCGCGCTTAACATACGTAGGATGGTAATATTTAAAGGCAATATATTTACCTGTAGATATGCAAAGTCTGCTATATATTGCGAGTAGTTTGTTTTTATAAAAAGGAAGTAAATGCTTAGCGATGAATAACTCAGGAAAGCTTGAGAATCTTAAATAAATGAATACATGGAGCGCTGGTTTGGTAGTCAAGGCATTTTACTGAGTTCCTAAGTCACAGCTCTGTTCTACCTTCTTTGGTTTGGGCAACTGATAAGTATCATAACTGATGAACAAGTTAATTATATTTAGTATCTAGATATCAATCGACGTGTCTACCACCATATGAAAGCTGATAAACTATCACCGTTTAATATTAGACATAAAATCAGTTATAGAAACCCAACGATATTACAAGTATAGACATTTTTTTTACATGTATATTGATTACAAGTAGTGTTCTCTTGAAATAAAGTGAGTTATGTACACCGATATAAAAGTAAGAGTTACTTGTTGTCTCAGAATTGTGACTGCGCAGATTTCTCTTCGCATCCAAATCGTTTTGAATTTTTGGTCAGTTCGTCATGTTCTCTCAGTAAGCAGAGCTATAAAAAACGAGGTAATAGCACAACATGAACGTGTTGCAAAAATGTCAAAGATGTGATAGGACACCAGGATCGTTTGTCAAATTTATGGAGACTGTTCAGTAGTTACATTTCAAATTATAAATCCAAATGATTCTTAAGAAACCTGCAGATTAAATTACCGGTAGCAGGTATCTAGGACTACTGTGAGAATCCAGATAAGGGTACTTAGTCTCTAGGAAATTAGCGATACAGCGCAATCTCCTTGCTAGTGAGAGACATGACAACTATATGATTATTTTTCTCTTGGGTATCGGCGAACTTGAGTCATTAGAATGATGAACTTCTAAAAAAACAGTAGGTCTAAGAATAGATCATATGGATTTATTTTGGCCTCACAATAACTGGAAGGCTGTTTCGTACAACGCTGCACGACAGTACGCAAGATCCCGCTACCGACTGAACTGAAAACCGAGGTTTGGGTCTATCTACTCGAGTTGTAGATCACAGTCGAGATTTAGTAGTACACACTTCCAACTTCTGTCAGTTTCCTGATGTCAGCCCTTGTAAACAATATTCTGATTGCAGAAAATCTACACACCGTCCATCTTAATGGACGGATTGTTATTCAGAATGGTGCTCTTCAGGTTTTGCTAAATTACCTTTCACTGTAAATCAATAGTTGATTGGGATTATTACATATAATGGACTTACATTGATGTGCGTTAGCTGAAGGTTGTGTAGTCATATCTATCCACCTAAAATCAAAATTAATATGAAAATGTTGAAAAGTCAGTTAGTCTTGTGTAACTTAGAATCTAGCATGTATGTCCATTGCTTTGAGTTACCATCATCACAGCAACACAGCGGGATAAAATTATCAAGACAAATCACGAAGAAGTAGAAAAATTAGGTATATAAAAAGATGGGAAAAGTATAAGGGGATCTCTGAACTCAGGTTCTGTAACAAGACAAAGAGTAAATACAACTGTACCATCACGAAAGGTTTTGAGGCATCATCCAAAGTCTAGCCATTGTTTACGATATCCCGAATCAGGTAGTTTACAACTCTCGACATAATGGTTTATATTCGTGTCGGCGGATTACCGGAGTTTTAGTAGGAGGATGTGGAGCTAAGCTATGTCGGGTGTAAAGAAGGTACCCGCCGAAGGTAATGGGAGATGGTCGCGCAAAGTAATGAATTGGTTGAAGTTATGCTATTACACCACTGGATCCGGGCTCAGTGAGCTGAGGGTCCCGGGTTCGGTTCCAGGTTGTGGGGTCTTACATACCCACTGCTCAGGAGTCGCATGCTTGAACGAAACGGCCGTCCAGGGCTTCAGTGGTGATCTAACTTGGATGGGTTTGTGATTTCAGTGAAGTCCAGAAATCTTCACGACCCTATACTGACAAGTTAAAAAGATTGTTTTTGAGTAGTCAGTATCTTTACACAGTCTGTCTAGATTTACACTAAAGACTAGAGAACTGGTTTCATAAAAGAAACGTATTGACTGACTTGTTTCGCAATGGTGATAAATCTTACATTACAGTAGTATTTAGGTCTGTTTTCATGCACGTTTGAAGCTATCATACTAAAAAGTCAGACTTATTCGATACAAGGAACAAAGTTAAAAATTGTAGTATTCTGCTGTGTAGTACAAACTACTGGTCATACAAGTTAGTACTTCGAACAACCTGTAGCTCTGGCTAACCGCATCTACGAAATAAAATACGCTGCAAACAAACTTAGCAAGTCTCTTCAATCTGTTCTTCCATGGTTCACAGCAAAAAGTCGAAAAATGAGAATTTCCAGCATCAGCCTTATCTGGGACATTGTTTTATAGAGCGAAAGGTATTGCCAAGGATAATTTTAATGCGAAGTAAATGTGGTTATTTTATATGAGGAAATAATTCCAACATAATTAGAATGTGAATATTTTATCTGTTTTAGCTAGAGAACGAACTCAAGTTTCTCAGTATCATTAATCCTAATCATGATTCTTACTAGTTATGGGCGACCATTGCATAGATCATTAAATCCATAAATTTGTTCGGAAAATAGCATTATTATCTTTGCAAAACGATGCACCTTGTATTGTTTTAAGGATATTTTCGTGAGAAGAATATGATGGTCATAGGACCCAATTACTGATAAGATTTCATTTGTTCAAATATACGTTGGTTGCACATGTTTATACAGTGTAAACTCTTTAAGTCAATGTATCAATCTCTCACTGCACAATTTAACCTGTCCCCAACTTTTGTGAATAGTAATCGGGAAATACCATTAAAACGGTGCAATTACACATTTGCATAGCTTCTCTTATTGGTTTGTTATCGTGGCAGCTGACACCTACCTGTTGACCCTAGTTGGTTTCAACCATTTTTATTGACAAGAGAAATGGCATTTGCAAATATCGTATTCTAGGAATTCGGCTTTATGCAAAAAAGATGCCTTGTCACTTTTCATATACTTGTACACTAAAGCTAAAGAAGCTTGGGAACTAAAGAGCAACGAATGTCTTCATTCTCAAGCGAGTTTTCCCACTTGTGATAATAGATGAACGTTGGCGCTATATAACAACACTAACTGAATTTGAAAATATTAACTGTCAGATTCTGATTCAATGGTTAAATGGTATTGTTTTCAATGACAAGATACTGAATATTCGAAAGTTAAGACAGTTATCAGATATTACGCAGCTATCAAATGAATTTTTATCGGATGTGTAAGTGAATACTCAATATATTTTATTCTAAACAAAACTCGAAAGATTTTCTAGATCACCACTTACATCATGATCTTTACAATCCTGAATAGGAATTTCTTTCTTAATATACAAACACCCATTATTTCCTGAAGTTTATTAAACACGGAGTTTTTGTGAAGTTAATTTAACTATTCATCTTTTTAGACTTCATGAAACTGTATAGTACAGAATAACATTGATGAAAAATAGAGCCTATTCCATGAATCATTTTTGTGTTAGAAATAGATTAAAATCACTTAGAAGTCGATAAGTTCTCGAACGTTTCACCGTCTTATAATGATGAAAGATACTTTCATTATTCAGCTGGAAAATGTTATCGGCTACAGCTTCAAAAAATCAGTTTCAAATAATAATACAGCTGACGTTATTTTTAAGACAAATAAAATACTGCTGATCAAACAAAGGATATAAAATGTTTACTACGAAAACATACATGGTGTAATCGTCATAACTTACGTTTGCTCTGTTTTGCGCTTATGCTTCCTTTGTTTGCGAATAACAAATACAATAGTTAAAACCAAAAGAATAAGTCCAAAAATTGATACTAGAATAATACAGAAGAGAACATGATATTTACTATAAATCAGTAGGGTGATCGGTAAAATAAATTGTTTTAAAACATGGAATTTAAACTCAGTTAACTGAAGTAAACAATAATACATTGCATATCCCCATAGAAAGTGACTTGGATTGTGAGAATAACAAATATAGCGGTATTAAATAATAGTTAATTTATTTTATTAGGTACTTCACTAGTATTCTTTGTTACAGTACCTCATAACTGAGATAACAATAACAATGATGTATCCTTTGGAACGAAGATAAGTACTGAATTATTATTGTAGACTATGTGGCAATTCAGTAATATCTATATACTGGACTCACAAATCCCTGAGAATTGATACTCTATTTAAAAATTTATGTCCCACACAGTGGTTTTCTTAAGTTATGCTAATGATAACAACTGGATACTAGTTATAGTAGTGTCCTGGTGATTGCAAAACACCCACTTTCTTGTAGGATTGCATTCAGAATAATTTACAATAGAAACTAGAAATAGGGTACATGAAACGAAGTTTGAACAAAGATTGATTCGTGTTCAAAATATCATGATATATAGCAGTATATATTACTACTGTACGTAATTAAATGAATATACTTTAAATAGGATTTCTCTGTTATACGTAAACTAATAGGAATTCGAAAAAAGTCTGAATAATATGAATGTTATTCTGATTCACGATATGGGGGTTTTCTAAATTTTAAAGTATGAGTAAGTTGATACAGCTATATCTTGAAATGTTACGTGAATGTTTAACAGATTCAGTTATCAATGAGCTGAATAAGTCATTATGCAACCATCAAACGAATGATATATATATATATATATACGGTACATTACGGTCTTATTGTAACGAAGTTAGTATTTCAATTATAGTTTCCTGGACTGAATTATCGTTTATTACAACACAAACTTATCCTATCAGGAGTTGAAATCTAATTTGTACTGTCCTTTTTACTGTCAGTTGTAGCTTTTTTATCCAAATAAAGAAGGTATAAAACAAATAGACAGAATTATTGAATGTCAGAATATTATGTTTAATTATTTATTTTAATTTCAACCCGTTACTTACTAGTTATAATAATTGCAAATAATGGAATAGGGATACCGTTGATTCTTCCAGTACCTATGTTGAATGGAAAAAAATTCAAAAATTCGTCTAATCACTAACTTTTCTTATAGTCATATTGTGGATCTTAAATCTCAATATAATCTATTAGCCACTAATTAAGGGAAAGATTATGTATTAATTTTAAGTAGGATTTCTATTCATTTGACCTTGAATTGATTCAATGTAAACTTCTACCCAACATAACAATTTTTATTAACTGATACATTATGATTTTTCGTTCACTTTAGCTTTATTAAGTATAATATTCAATGGTATTTCGCGTTCAAGTAATGGTTGTTCAGCTTGATAATTTCTATGATTAATAACCACTAAGTTGGATCAGTATAAACTTGGTTTTGATTTAAATCTTCTGGAGTCTTTACCAAAACAAATCTTCCTTACGAGACGTTGTTCTCTTCCATTGCGCAGGGAATTATTTATGGAACTCGTTTCGAATTGGAAGAATATCCAATAAAACTACACACCTAGCCAAATCCTACCAAGCTGAGTAGTTTCCAATTCTGTGAGTGAAATACAGAAAGAAATGATCGATCTTGGACATAAACGTGAAATGTTAATAGACTACACAATTACGATCAGATTTACATAATTTAAGAGCTGTATACATTGTTTTTAATGGATCTGGATCAGTGGCAATCATTATACCAACTAGTTAAGAGGTAAGAAGGTTTACCGATTACTGGATAAACTCAATGGTGTTCAAAATGATATTGTAATGACACATGAACCAGAAAGTAATGGCCAATTAGCCTTTCTTGACATACTTTTAAGTCGAAGGGATGATGACACTATTAGACGGTCCATGTATAGGAAACCAACTTGGACAGGACAATACCTAAATTTCCATAGTTTCTGTCCATTGCAATACAAGAGAGGTCTAGTTAAGTGCCTCTTTAAGAGGACTCGAAGAATATGTACCTTTGATATGGTGGAAAAAGACGAAAAGTTACTGACTGACACTTTAATAGCAAATGGTTATCCACTCAAGTTTATTAATAGGTGCAAAAGTCAGTTAATGCCAAGACCTCTAATTTATTCAGTGCCAAAGAAAAATGTTTACATCAATCTACCATATAGAGGCGAATCAAACAGTATTGTTTTAAGGCACAGATTGAAAGCAGCCATTGAGAATACGTATTATGCTGCTCAGTTGGTAGTGATTGAAAAGTCTAAGGCTATGATTCATAATAGACCCAAACAATGCACTAATGATTACGTCACATCCCATTGTATTTACCAATTTACATGTTTGTGTGGACACACATACATAGGGAGGAGTAATCGAACAATGCAAGCAAGGGTCAACGAACATGTACCCAGATGGCTTCAAAATCAGTGTGTGTCAAGTGGTCCGATCAATGTAGGAGGTAGAAAACCAAGTTCATCAATAGCAAAACACATAATTGAGACGGGGCACAAAATTAACATTAATACAGCATTTAGAATGTTGTATAGAAATTGTCAAGGTCGAATTCTTAAGTTTATTGAAGCCTTAGCTATTCGTAAATTTAAACCCCCCTTATGTGTACAAAAACAATTTGTCGTAACCTTGAATTTACCTTGGTAATCCTCAAGTCATTCTATGGCCTAGGATAACGCGACAATTTCTTATTCTTTCTCCCCCCTTAGTTATTTTAGTTGTACTTTTATTTGTTTGTTTGACCTTTATTGACCTTTATTAATTTTCATATAAAAATGCCTTGACAAGTATATGTGTGACCAGATTGTTCGAAATGTATAGCGCAAATACATCACATTTTTCAGATCAACTCCGTCTTCTGATTGTTCTATCGAAATTCATAGAATAACTTGATTCGAACATATTTTTATTTTACAAACTGACTATAATCCATCCAACACTAAAAAATACTGATTAGAATTATGGGTTTTTTTCATAACATCATTACGAATTTTATTAAGTAAACTATACTAGTAAAAAGATGAGAGAAATATTCACTACTATACTACACTTACACAAATAACCATTTTCATCGGATCCATCATGACAATTTGCAATTGTGTCACATGTCAGAGAATCGGGTATGCAATTAGTAGCCGCATCCCAACAACGAAATGTATCTGATGGACAGTTATATGATGGTCCTAAAACTGTTAATTCATGTCAATTATAAGAAGTTAACGAAGCGATTAATAATAAAATTTATATAACAATAACTGATAAGTAGTAAATTATCCTGTGAGATGAACTTCCTGCTGATGTAAAAAGTCAATGGAAAAATGTATTTAATTATGTAATTTTTTGTCAGTGGGACAAGTTATATGATGTCGTTATAGTGACAACTGAATGCACTGCTTTTAATTTTATACACGGGACTGGCAGTTCCTATTGGTCGAATAGAAGCAATTAATTTCATCCGTTTTTGTGGATAACCGGTTGAATCCCATCATATACTTTTGAAAAAAAAACCATCATGATTAATATATAAGTTAGCAATTTACCGTTTATGACAAAAACATTTGGTTGCATGAAAATATACTAGATTTCAGACTGAAATCATTACACGGCTACCATACTACTTGAATGTAATAATACGTCGGGCATTATTCAAGCAATTATTAAGTTATAGTTTTATTCTGATCAAAAAGAGAAAATATAGGTGGATTTATTAAACTTCTATTCAGTATTTATCAGTATAGGATTGTGGAGATGGAGTTTTAATTGAGATTATGAATCCATCAATGTTAAACCACCAATTCAAGATATTGAGCAATCATCTTCCATTGTCTTCGGTGGGTAACTACCTCACAGTCGACATGGTTAAACTTCATACTCTAGTTAAGGTCTATAAACTTGAGACAAATAAAATGTAACTGAAAACGAATTTTCAACAAGATTCATTTTTCTGGGTGAAGGCTGACAAGTTTCGTACGGAATGGGGTGCTGGGGAGTGAAACTTATAAATTTCTACCCTTTCTATTTTTTCGAAATTTACCCATATGATTGGTTCGATTTAACTTTCTTATTATGTGATCCAATTCATGTAGTCTATATTTCCCTAATATTCCTCCTTTTTTTGATCGGTTAAGTTCTATGGATAATGCCTCATTTTCATTGGATGGTTCTAATCGAAATAAACAAATACGCCAGTAAATTATTATAATTAAGAATTTAGGAAATCAATTGGATGTCGATATAATCGTTTTGCTTATTATCAAAGCAATAGTACATATAATGAAATCACATAGACGCAAGTAGTGATAGTAAATAGCATGAAAGTGCGTTGTAATGTCACTTAAAATGAACTAGAGATATAAACATTGTTTACCAGTACAAAGAATTCATTTGATCCATTATGTTTAATAGTATTACTCTACTCAAAAGCAACATTTGGATGTGCTTGTACAAACGATTACTTCAAATACAATTTTTTATAACCATTATCAACTAATATCAAAGAATATATTGTCATATGGTTAAAATATCTTAATTTTCGAAACTCGAACTTTTATGCATTAATAACAGAGAGGTTTTAGGATTTGACAAACCTACTAAGGAGTATTATTAAACTGTGAATGAAAGACTGATTATAATTACTAGAATTAAATGAAAAAGATTGCAAGAAATAATACTGTATGTTGTGACTTTTGGTCCGGCCTCTTATCACGTGATTAATCCACCAATCAAAATACGACTTATACAATCTCAGCACTGTGCCAAACCAATGACGTCCGACCGGTATGGGCAGCCCAGCGTCTTTATTGGTCCTATGTCCGCCTAGCCCGTCCACTCGAGTCCAGAACACCAATACCAGCTCCCGCTATGCGAATCGAATCATTTATTTCCGACATACTGGGTTTATATATCAACCAAACAGACCGCAACGCACCATAAAATAGGAAATAACATTCATACACAATAAAGCCAAAAAATGTCGGTGAACGTGGGAGGCAGTAGTCAATAAACTGAACATAGCTTAAGAACAGTAAATCGTACAATAATAAATCACAGGTCAAAATAAAGCTTACAATAAGAGGAATATAAATATACATAATCTAATTATTGAATAGTTATACCATAAGAATATATAAATAATATTAGTCCATTAATAATTCTCAGAAGTTATTCGTGATTTAATCTTCGCTCGGATATAACACTGTAAAACAAATATTTCAATAAAAAATAGTAATTTTCATTATCACCAGTCATTCAGACACTGAACTCAGTTTTTTCAGTCGTGTAGTTACTTCTAGATTCTCCCGCTAAGAAGAAATTTAAATATTACTTAAATATTAAATGAGTCACCAGAAATATAAATGAGATAGAAATAGGGGAGATCTAAAACTACTCAATTGTCAACTGTTGCACAGATAAAATATGCATAATGCCGAAATGGTGTAGTACAAGTTTTCAATGGAGAATATACTTCATGCAAACGAATCTTGTGAAATTGGGAAGTTCATTCTAAATAAGTACAATTTTATAGTGATCATAGATACTAGTTTGCCTGAAAACAAATTAACCCAATCAACAATAGGTGAAAACTACCCCTTTTTAAGAGAGTTATCAATGAGACGTTCTCTACTTACACCATCTAAGCTAAGAACAATTAAATGATTCGAGCAAAACTAAAGGTCCTAGGTTCGAATACCGCATGCATGTTTGTGGATTCATACTGCTGAGGAGTCCCTTACTAAGACAAAACGGCCATCTAGTGCTTCTAGATTTTCAGTGGTTACCTAGCACTGATCGGTTCATGAATTCAATGAAACAATAGAAAGAATGCAGACGTTTCAGTAAAGGAAATGTTCTTTCAGACAATGGCATTTTTTAAACTGTACGAACGTAATTACACATAATTTTATCATGTGTAGTCTATAATAAAATATAATATTTGTTTTATTTATTTGAACACATGAATATTGGTACAAGAGAGCGCCAATATATATGCGACACACAAAACAATGAGAATTCGAAGAGAAGTAGAAAAAAAAACTAAGGAGCGCAAAAGAAAAAGAGAACAATGACGAAGAGATTGGAGTAAGGTAGTGTGGTAGTAACGACGGAACGAAAAGGTACAATCAGAAGAAATCTTTCAGGTAAAGGAGACACAACCACTTTTTATGAAGAAAGTAAAAGAAGGTTACAACAGGATCGCCACTGGCTTATACTCTGAGCCATATCTGATAACGTCTCTAGCCACTGTGTAGCACCATCTCTCAGACCCCAACCAGGGAGTCGTGAAGGACCAACAGAAGCCAGTCCTTTGCAGCTTTCTTTCATACCACGACACCATGTCATGCACTGACCACCTCTCCGCTTCTTCCAACCAGTCCCAGAGTCGGCAAATAATGCACGACGTGGAAGTCTGTGGGACGACATTCGTAGAACATGTCCAAGCCACCGAAGTCGGTGTTTCAAGATGGTGACACCAATTGAATTATCATCTCTGTGCCCGAAGACACGATGCCAAACCTCTGCATTACTGACATGGTGTTGCCACTGAATGTCAGCAATCCTTCGGAGACCGATGATCGAACACAGAGAGTCGTCTAACATCCTCAACTCAGAGAGGTCAGGTTTCACAAGCATAGAGCAAAACTGCTCTCACCGACGCGTTGTAGATCCGGCCTTTTACAGCCAGACTAACATCACGAAGCCACCAAAGGTGGCCCAGATTGGCATAAGCCGCTCTGGCTTTCACTATTCGTGCATTGATCTCATCACTCACACCCCCACCAGCACTTATGCAGCTACCCAGATACACGAACTTCTCGACTATTTCTATCTGCTCACCATCCAGGGTGAGTACAGGATTAGAATCCTGCCAGTCTTGTAGAAGTACTTTACACTTCGAAGGTGCAAAGCACATACCATACCTATGGACATTGATTGCCAACTGATTAAGTGCGGATTGCATGCCTTGGACATTCTCGCACAGTAAGACAATATCGTCCGCATACTCAAGGTCGAGAAGTCTTTCTCCAGGCAACAGATCCACACCACCATTACTTACATCCATCAGAGCT